CCTCCCTCCATCCCATGTCCTCCAGAAGGGATACTGGGGTGGAGCCGGGGTACCGCGGCCACCCGTCCCGAGCTCTCCAGGAGGTACGCCAGGATGGGGACGGGGTACCATGCCCACCCATCCCACTTCCATCCGTCCCCCATCATCCAGGAGGGATGCTGGGATGTTCTCCAGGAGGTACACCAGGATGGAGAGGGGTCCCATGGCGTCCATCCATCCCATGTTCTCCGGATGGGGCGCTGGGAGGGAGGTGGGGTACCGTGTGCATCCATCCCATGTTCTCCAGGAGGTACACTAGGATGGAGAGGGCTACCATGCCCACCCATCCCACTTCCATCCTTCCCCAGTTCTCCAGGAGGGATGCTGGGATGGAGACGGGGTACCACATCTGCACGTCCCATGTTCTCGAGGAAGGACGCTGGGAATGAGACAGGGCATCACATCTACCCACCCCAAGTTCTCCAGGAGTACGCTGGGATGGAGAGGTGGCCCCATGTCCTCCACTCCCGCACCCTTCAGGCGTGACCCCTGCACAGAGACGGGGTCCCACGTCGTTCAGGTGGGGCGGTGGGCTGGAGACGGGTCCCACATCCACCCATCCCTCATCATCAGGGCAGGGCGGTGGGATGGAGACAGGATCCTCCATCTGCCTTGGGAAACCCAACCCTCGTTAGGGACATCCCTAATTGCCGGGGGGGGGGGGGGGGGGGGGCAGAGTGGGAAAAAGGGCTAACCAGCCGGTTTGCAAATAAGAGCGGCGCGGCGAGGAGCTGAATTTAGCCGGCGTGGCCGCCTGTCCTCGCTGGCGTCTGGCCAGGGCTCTGCCGGCCTCGGCGAGATCCCACTCCAGCGCCCGCGGCCAGGGGGGACAACGGGGCTGGGAGCACCCAGGGGGCCCGCTCTGCCCATGTCACCCGAGGGTGCTGGTCCCCGTGGCCTCGGGTCCTTGCTGGCTTCGTCCTCGTGGAGGTTAAGGCACATCAAGCTGTGAGCGGGCAGCTGCCTGCGAGTTGGGGACAGCCAGCGATGTCCCCACCGAGGCCCTGGGACCTGTCATGCCGTTAAGGGCTAACAGAAATGATCGGTGGGGACACGTGACGTGTCACCACGAACTGTCCCTCATCACCTCCCTGCTCCCTGTCACCTCCCCAGCCCTCTGCCACCCCCCCGCGTCACTGCTGGGGACCCCACTGCCCCGAGGGAATTGTCACCCGGGGCTGAGCTGGTGGGATGGGTCCCCACGGGGCAAAGGGGGGGAGCCCCTGGGGGACAGGGGATGGGACAGCCCAGGGGACAGGGGAGCCTGAAGGCCATGGGGACAGGACTGCCCATGGGACACGGTCCCCGGGGGACAGGGGACAGGAGAGCTTGTGGCCAGGGGATGGGGAGCCTATGGTCCAGGGGACAGGACAGCCAGGGGGCAGGAGTGACCGTGGCCTGGGGGGACAGGAGCACTGGGACAGGCAGTGCTGGGGACATGCCGTGACCTGTCCTTCTCCCAGTGAGACCAGTTCCTTCCTCCAGCACCCCCTTCCCTCCGCTGGTTTCGCCCCCAGGGCTGTCTCCTTGCCGGGACAGAGTCCAGCGCCACCACCCTATGGCTGACCTGACCATGGCTGCTCCTCCCGGGGACACCCCCGTCCCCGTCCCCACCGGTGCAAGCCCTGTGAGCCTCCCTGGTCACCGGTGTGATGAGTTGTGGGTGCTCTGGGGCCGGGCAGGACGGGCATTTGCCGGGGCGGGAGGGGCCGGGGTGCACTTTAATTGACTTCTGCTGCGTTGGGCAGCTGTGAAAACAGAGCGGGGCTCATTAGGGGACATCAAAGGACCCCCACCACGGCCAGGCGGGGGGACACAGTGGGACCCACCACCGGCGTTTGCTCCCTCTTCGCTTGGCTTAAAAGAGGAAGAGGAGGATGGGAGTCACCAGCCTGGGAGGGCTGGGGCTCAGCCGTGTGCAGGGAGGAGGTCCCTGTCCCCTGTCCCCTGTCCTCTGTCCCCTGGGGTTAGCTGGATCCGGGGGGACCCATTCTCTGGGTTAGCCAGACTGGGAGTGACCTGGGAGTGACCCCATGTCCAGGTTTACCTGGACATGGGGTGACCCATCCCTGGGGTTAGTTGGATTTGGGGTGATCTGTCCCCAGGGTGACCTGTCCTTGGGGTGACCCATCCCCGGGGTGACCTGGACCTGTCACCAACGTTAGCTGGACCCCGGGTGACCCATCCCCACAGAGATCCATCCTTGGGGTGACCTGTCCCCAGAGTTAGCCTGACCTGGGGTGACCCATCCCAGGGGTGACAGACCAGGGGACGGAGGGGGGAGACACTGACCGTTGCTTGCAGACACCCTCCAGCTCCTTCCCTACTCAGGCTGCAAACGGCCCCGAGAGCCAAAAACCTCCAAAATCCCCCCAAAAGACCTCTGAAAGGCCCTGGGCTGAGCCGCACGGCCGCTGCCGGGGCAGGATCCGGCCCAGCTCCTCCAATTGCAGCTCCAAACCTCTCCGGACATCGCAGGAGCCCACGGGGCCAGGGTGGGGAGGACGGACACAGACCCCCAGGTGGGTCCCAGCAGCACCCACGGGGTGCTCAGCACCCACAGAGCTCAGCCGCCGGGCGCAGCCTCTGTAATCCCAGCTCTGTTTTCCAAAGCCGGGACACTGAAGCCTTTAAAAAAAAAATCATCTCCCAGCTCCTGCATTCCTGGGTGGAGAGTTTACATTCCCCCCATCCCCTGGCGATCCACGCTTCGCCTCTGGAAAAAAAAGCGGCCTTGGGTGGGATCTGCCTTTTGGGGAGAGGGACCCTCCACCCAGGTAACGAGAACCAGCCGACACCCCCAGGCCAAAGGACCCAGTGCCAGGGCTGGATACGGGATACGGATCCCCTATGGGAAGGGCACCCCCAGGCCAAAGGACCCAGTGCCAGGGCTGGATACGGCCCGGGGATCCCCTATGGGAAGGGTGAACCCACCCGTGCGATGGCACCTTTGGGTGCACGAAGTTGAGGGGTGCCGGGGGGGGGAGGGGGTCCCCCCGTCCCCTTGGCCGAGACTCGTCCTGCCAATGTCATCACCAGCGCGGTTTTCCCCCGGGAGGGAGGCAAAGACATCGGCAGCAATAAAATCAACCCCATTTTAATTCCCATTTCGAGAGCCACCGAAGGCGGGGGGTGCCGGGGGGGGGGGGCCCGGCCCCAGCCCGTCCCCCAAACTGCTTCTCCAAACCACAGAGGGGAGGAAAAAAAAACCCCTGGATACGTTTCCCCCTCTTCTCGCCCCCCTTCCAAGTCATCGCTGGAAAATTAAACCGGATCCAAAGAGTTTTTCCTTTCCAAAATGTGCTGGAGAGGCGCTGCCTTAACCCTTTCGGCTCCTGCTTTTCCCTTCGCTGGAAAATTGGGATTTTTAAGGGGGTTTTGGGAGGATCGTCCCGGGGCTTTGCTGGGATAGGGGAAATGGCTCAGTCCCCCCGCAAATCTCCTTTGCACTCAGAGGATCCAAAAATCCCCCCAGATGATGGAGACGAGAAGCGCTGAGGCTTCCTGGAGCCGGTTTTGGGGCGCCCGTGGGGTCAGCACTTCCCGGGCCAGGTCTCCCTCTCCATTTTGGGAAGAGTATTTTTTTTTTTAATTTCAATTAAATCCAGCTGATTAAATCCACCCTTCCCCTTGCCGAGCTCCGCGCCAGCCCCCCTCCAGCTGAAACTCCCCATATCCCATCTCCAGCATCGCCCAAATCCCGACAAGCTGAACCGGAGCCGGGACCCCGCTCCCCTCCGAGACTCGGGATCGGGGGGGGATCGGGGGGGGCCACGCACAGCCAAAAAACCCTAATCCTATAGAAAATGTGAGCTATTTCCTCCGGGGGGGGCACAGGAGAGGCGCCCCCCTCCCACTGCAAATCGAAAAATCCTTATTTTTTGGGTTAAATAGATATTTTTTTCCCCCTGCTAAGAGCTTTGTTCCAGCTGGAGGGAGATGCTGGCTCATCCCCACGGCGCGATGGAAGCGGGGGGTCCTGCTCCTGGCCCCTCCAGCAGCACCCATGGGGACCTGCCCCCCATTTCTTGATTTTTTTTTGGGGAAAAAAAGCCCTCAGGAATAAGTTAGCGTTCGTTTTTACTGGGGGAAAAAAAGCCCTCAGGAATAAGTTAGCGTTTTGCTTTACTCGTTTGTATTTGCAAAGGACTGTTTAAAACGTAATTTGGGAGGAAAGATCTGCAGGCAAGCGGGGGGGAGGTACAGGCAGGGCAGCGCGGGCAGGGGCAGGCAGAGACCCCAGCCCCGGCTGGGGGGGGACAGCCCTGTCACAGCATCTTTTGGGAACGAGCAAAGGGGGGGGGTTTAATAAAAAAAAAAAACAACTTTCTCGGGGAGTTGCCAAAAAGAGAGGGAGAAAACTGGGATTTTTATCGGTTTTTTTTTCTTCCCCCCCCCCCC